GCAGGGCAGGGCGGGGGAGGGGCGGGCAGTCCTGCCTGTTAGCCGGACTCTTCCCACCCACCCCAGGGCAGCTGGGGGTCTCAGGGTCTGGCCCTCAGCCTGCAGAGCTTGTGCCCACGCAAGTGCACGCCTGTCCGCGCACGGTTGCCCACGCGAGTGCACGCCTGTCCGCGCACACGTGCCGCGCCGCGCCCGGACCTGCGGAAGTCGAGCAGGGGCCGCGTGGTGGCGGGGAGGCCCTGGGCCGGCCAGCTCAGGAAGTGGAACTGGGTGAGCGTGCGCGTCTCCTGCGACTGCACGTTCTTCAGGTAGAAGCTGCGCACCAGGAAGTCCTCGCACCAGATGTGCTCCGACACCAGGTTCACCTGCGCGTGGGGGGTTACAGGCATGGCCACGACTCCCGGCCCCATGCTGCTCTCCGTACCCCCAGCCCACCCGCCGCGTGGCTCCGTGCCCCCCAGGCCTACCCAGCTTGGCTCCATGCCCCCCGCCAAACCTCCTCAGCTTGGCCCTGTCCCCCTCCAGCCCTCCTGGCTCAGGCCTGTGCCCACCCCGCCCCTAACCCGTGGGCCCAGCCGCCCCGGCCGCGCTCACCTCGTAGACGTGGTAGAGGGAGGAGCCCTCGTCGGGCCAGTAGCGGTCGCACTGCTTGACGCTGTCCTCGGCCAGGGGGCTCAGCATGACGATGACGGTGCAGCCGTGCTCCCACACCATCTGCGTGTTGGGGACACGGCCGTGGCAGGGCGTTGAGGCTGGGCTCTCCTGTGGGGCTGCCCTGCTGCAGCACCCGTGGGCACTGGAGCCAGGGCTCCAAGCAGGGGGAGAGCGGGGCACAGCCCAGAGCCGGGGTGTCGGCGTCCGTGCCCCAGCCCCACTCACCTGCCAGAAGTCAGCGATGGTGTGGGACAGCGGCCCCTGCGTGGCGATGTACGCCGGCATCCGCGGGTCATGCTCGATCTGCGCCGAGACACGACGTGTCAGACGCTACCCGGGGGTTGGGGGTCAGGGATCAGGAAACGACCAGGGAAGCTGGCGTGTAACGGGGCACGTGTGTGCATGCCTGGCCTGTGTGCATGCAGGGTGACCCCAGCCAGGCCGTGCAAGCCTCAGCAGCATCCCCAGCGCATGACGAGGGCACGGGCAGGCAGTGCCGGGTCTCCAGGGAGTGCCCAAGGCCAGGGTCTGCAGGCACGCCAGCATGGAGGCAGGGGTCTCTAGGCAAGCTGGGGCTGGTGGCTCCCAGGGGCAGGGGTAGGGGTAGGGGTCTCTGGGCAGGATGGAGCGAGTGGGGGTCTCCGGGCATCAGGCTGGGGTGGGCAGCTCCCAGGGGCAGAAGCCTCTGGGCAGGCAGGCAGGCAGGGCAGGTATGTGGGTCAAGGGGTCTGTGGGCAGGGGTCTGCAGGCAGCAGGCTGGGGCACACGGCCGGCTGGGACTCACGATGGGGCTGGCGTTGATGAAGTCGCTGCGGGACGGGCTGCAATCGGCCTTCAGCTTGATCCGTGCATGGTCATCTGCAACCAATTCAGGAGGAGGGCCATGAGCAGAACACGCGCCCGGCCCCCCCAGCGGGGCAGCCCGGCCCCCTGCATCCCACTACAGGACCCCACGGGGGGCAGTGCCTGGCTAGCCCCCCTCCCCTGAGCGGGCACAGGGTGCTCACAAGGCACGAAGTCAGGGTGCCGGTTCTTCTTCAGGTTGGCTTCGCTCTGCGCGATGGAGCAGGCGTTGGGCTCAGCCTGGTACGCGCACAGCGCCTGCCACTCCTTGGCCAGGCGGTCCCGGTTGCGCAGGTGGTCCTCCATGTAGGCCTGCAGGTGCAGCGCCGCTCAGCACACACAGCCGCAGGGGCAGGGGGCTGTGCTAGGGCAGGGACCGGCACGCGCGCACACGTACACACACGCACCCACGCTCTAGAGCAGGTCCAGCATCCCCAGCTGGGGGCAGCCAGGACACGTGCATTGATGTACACACACACACACACACACACACACACACTCAGGAGCAGGCCTGACAGTCTCAGTGGGAGGCAGAAGGAACATGTGCACAGACACATAAACACACACTTGAGCAAGTGCAACACTACCAGCAGACAGCAGTAATGACAAGGCATATGCATGCATACACGCAAGTGGGCACATGCATGTTCTCTGAAACAGGTCCGACACTGCCAGCAGTGGACACTTGCATGTGCACACACATTTGTACTTACTCCCCCCCACATACACATACACAAGTGTGCATACCATGGAGCAAGGCTGACACTACCAGCAAAAGTCAGCAAAGAGAGATCCTTGTGCACACGCACACATGCACACACACACCCACGTGCACTCTGGAGCAGGTCTGACACCAGCAACAGGGGGCAGCAGCAGCCACACATACACACGCACACACACATACACACGCATGTGCATGGACACACTGGAGCAGGTCTGACATAGCACGGATCTTTGAAAACTCTTGGCGCTCTGGTGTAGTGCCCGAAGACTGGAAGAAGGCCAATGTGGTGCCTATCTTCAAGAAAGGGAGGAAAGTGGATCCGGCTAACTATAGCCCCATCAGCCTGACTTCTATCCCGGGGAAGATCTTAGAAAAGTTTATTAAAGAGGCCATCCTTAATGGACTGGCCGACGCCAACATCTTAAGGGATAGCCAGCACGGGTTTGTTGCGGGTAGGTCTTGCTTGACCAATCTCATTTCCTTCTACGACCAGGTGACCTATCACCTGGACAAGGGAGAAGAGATTGATGTCATATATCCTGACTTCAAAAAAGCCTTCGAT